GTCTTACTTCTGCTCCGTAGAGCTTCGGTACGTTGTGAAACCCCTTAGCCACATTGAGTGAGAAGTCCATGGGTGACTTGAAGCCAGCGCCAACTATCCTAGCTAGACCCTTGCCAGTGTCTACTGCAGATTCACAATTCTCGGCCATGCTTGGCTTTGGCCCAGTGTTGGATGGCGCTGCAGATCCAGCCACCGATCTGGAGCGACTGCGAGACCGCGATCGCGAGCCTTGGGTAGATTCAGCAAATGCTTGAGACATGAATGATGACCTGTGTGAAGGCGTACCAGGAGAGCCAGGGCTCTTGACTGCTGGGTTGTCCGCCTGTATCCGGGCTAGATCAGCAGCAGCATCGGCTGCCGTTGGTGTTGCGGCCCCACTTCTACTTGAGCGATCGGTAGCATCAGTCGCCGTCCTCGATGTTGTCGGGCGTCCACTACTACTTCCTTCTCCGATCGACGGAGATTCGGTACCTGTGGCCTTTTCTTTGCCTTTCTTAGATCTGGCATCAGGATGTATGTTGAGTAGTTTGAGAGTCTGGATCGGCATATCAGCAACACCCATCATCACTGAGGTTGCTGTGCCCATAATAGCACCAGCTGCGCCAGAAACTGGGTCCCAAGGGCCTTCATCAGGAACATACTCGCGAGGGCGGTATCTACAAGTCTTAGCAAATGTCATAAATCGAGCATGCGATTGCTTACAGCTTCATGTCAGAGAAGTTCACTTCGCCTTGTTGGGCCAGTACAGTAGCCGCCTTAGCACTCAACTTCACGTCAGTGCGCTTCAGTCTCCAGACAGCCGGTTTGTCTGGCATGAGAGCACATCGCAGTTCGTCGTAATTAAGCATCTGATGGAATGACTGAGCTCCCTTCTGTGTGCCGTTTTCCTGTTTGATCTTGTCGCAGAGCTCATGCGCCCGATCGAGTGTTTCCGGTTTGAGGGCTTCGTTGATAGCTCCGGCAAGCTTCTCTGCAGTGAGTTCCTTGTATGGGATCGGATCAGGCCCAGCGCCGGCTCTTGAGACCATGGCTCCCCAGAAGGCTTGATCTCCGAAGAATGGCACAACGACAGTCGGCTTTCCAGTTGCGATACCAGCTGCCGTAGTTCCTGCGCCACCATGATGCACGACAGCAGAAACGCGTTTGAACAGCCAGTCGTGAGGACAATTACCAAGCATGAAGACGCCATCTGGCTTTCCAAGATCATCTGCTCCTAGCCCGCCCCAGCCTTTGGACACCAACGCACGTTTTCCGGTGATCTTCACGGCGTCGAAGATCATCTTGGTCATGGCATTTGGATCGTCCACTACAATGGAACCAAAGCCGATGTATACTGGTGGCTCACCTCCATCGAGAAAGGCTGCAAGATCCGGGGCTGGTGTATAGTTTGAGGCGAGGTTCAGGAAGTAGAAACCCGCGACGGAGATGTGGTGGTTCCAATCCCTGGGTTTAGGAATAAGTGCAGGAGACCTGTGATATGTGAGTCAAATTGTGAGCAGCATTTAAGTATACTCACCAGCAATATGTGAAAGGTACTTTCAGACGCGCGAGCATGGCTGGCGCCCAGACAGCGCTGATGGGATCCAGCCGAAGGCTATCCTTGCGGAACCTGTTGATGACGTCGCCCAAACCCTGCCACGTCAGTACATCGACCATGATATATGACAAGTAGTTGGTGATGGTGGGGTCTGCATTGCTAGACTGGATGTTGGCGAGTGGATGTGGGAACTGCTGTGTAGGCGACCACGGCATACTATCCGAATTAGCAGGTGCACGTATCTGAAGGAGACCAAACATACGTGAACATCATGTGTAAAGGTATGCCCAACTTCTCAGCGCAATGTATGTGCCCGAATGCGGGAGGATTTGCGATTATGGCATCGGCGACGAATGGTTTGCGTAGTTGCTCTGGTAGCTGGTCCTCGATACCCATCCACTCTTCGACTGTCTGCTGGAGCGGATCTACACCAAGACCATTACCCGTCTCTATGCAAGATCTCCATGTACCACTCAGAATCTCTGCGATGCCCTTCCTCCTCTTGCCAATGTCACCACTGCGCAATGTATCGAAGCCAGGCATCAGCCCCGGGTTCTTCACCATGAAAGCCATGAGTTCAGCTGGGTCGCCTCCGATACTGAAGAATTCCAAGCCATTCTCGATAACGAAGTCCTTGAACGTGGGGTGTGTCGCTAACCGCACCCTATGACCGTACGTATCCTTGAGCACCTTGCCCAATGCAACGAATGGCTGAACATCACCACGAGAGCCAACTACTTGTATGACGACGTTTAGCGGAGGTGGAGGTTGCTGGCCGGGCGCACCACCGAGGAACTCTGGGACGTATGGTGGAGGCGGCTCGGGATCTTCTTGCGCGTTTGTGAGTTGACGCTGTATTTGTGGGAGGATGAGCTGTGATAGCGCGCGGCTCTTTTGGTCGATTCGGATATTAACACGTCCGTCGTCAGCGACTACTGCGTTGGTGCCCAGCTCTTCGTTCTCGACCTGGCCTGGCAACTCGGTGTATGCGGGTGGTAGGTCCCCAAGGGTCGGTGCTTCGTAGGCGGGACCATCGTTAGCGCTAGGGTTGTGATGCGAACTAGAGGGCGCGCTACGCATCCAGTCAGTATAGAACTGTCGTCAACCACCAGGTAAGACCAACGCGGGTTGTGTTTGTGTATATGGCTGTGTTGGCGGGGCATTGTCGCGGGGCGCGTCATTGCCCTGCGCGGGGCTACTTGAACTCGCCATGGTGGTTGCAAAAGAAGGCTCAGAAAGAGGTCATGGTAGGTAATGACGAAGCTGCAAGAGAGAGCGTCAGGAAGAGCCACTACACTAAGAATGAGACGTAGGAGCTGCAAGCCTGTATTCCACACGCGGGAGAGCATATGCGCTATGATGCGGACCTCTTCGGACTTCTTGGCGTGTGATTGGCTATGGATAGATCAAAGCCACAAGCGGGGCTTCGTCATCGCTCAGCCCCCGATGCCTTGTTACCTACTCCTGGGGTCCAGTTTGCATGTCACAAATTGCATCTGAAACGATCGACGCTGGAAATGCTAATATAGGCGCTGTTAAGAGTATCAGGCGTCCACCCACCTTCCGCTAATTTAGTTGGCTTGGATTGTTAGGAACCGAATTCACCGAAAACACATCAGTAGTTTGGAGGCCTAGTTGAGATATGACTGAATATATCGTAACGCTACCTGATACCGATGACCTAAAGCCACCTGAGGTCTGCCTCGCCCACTTGCCGAGTATATCGCAGCCCTACTGGTGCAGTCTCAAGCGTATCGGCGCGTACACATGCGTATTCTCGTGTTGTTGTAGTAGCCCACATGGGGTACTCGGTCCACATAGCAACTCAGAAGACCCGGAGCAGCTGACGATGATCCGTAACCATGAGCTTCCACGCGCCGGGCTCGACACCTACAGCCCTGAAGACTGCCCGCTGACAGAAAAGCGCCCATTATCGAAAAGAGGTGCTTGAACCGGAAATCTGCCTGTTCGCACACATAAGTCAGCCTGTTTATCGGGTCATGACGATACACATACCTACCACATATGCGGCCATGCGGAAACGCCGTCCCAAGAACGTTTGCCGTCCGCCTCAGATGCGGTTGACTTTTGCTCATCTTCTTGCTTCTCTGGGGGGTTCTGGTACACCGAAGCCTTGCTGCTAGCAGTATCGCGTTTAGGCGCTGCCGATGTGTCGAGAGCATGTTTCGCAAGCCAGATTAGCTGCTCTGTACGCGTCGTTGCTCTATCGTTGGCGAGGCGCGTGCATATCTTGTTGACAACGCGACCGGTAGTCGTTATGCCCTGCGCAGCCTGCAGCTCGTTGACGGCTCGGTCAACGCACCCGGCGCGGTCGGACGCTGAGCTGGAGCTTGGCCGTAGCTGGCGCTTGATAGAAACTGGTGCAGATCTGGAGACACCACGAGCGGTTTGGAGAGGTAATTTGAACATGGTGACGACGGTGCTGGGTAAAGCGGAATGTTTGTCGATAATGAGATCTTGGAAGGGGAGTTGAGACGCGTCTAGGTACGTGACAACTGCCGGTTAGATAGGAAGAAGAAAGAGAGCAGACAAGGTGAAGAGGTGGTGAAAAGAATACTAGGTGTGAGCTGGCGAAGAGGAAGGTGAAGGCCGTTTCCATCTCGCCTCAACACAGGAAGGAGCTCTCGGTTATCGAGGCGCAAACTTCACCTATGTGAATTGGGGGTAAGCTGCAACTGTGCATTGTTTCACAAACTGAACGATGCTCATCTTCAATGCCATCTACGATGCATTGTCAGTCCTTCTCTTCCTCACTGTCTTCCATTTCGTACGTTCTCAGAGTGTTAGTCGCAGGATTGGTGAAGAACACCGGGTCACACCTGTGCCCTAAACGTCTAAGTATTGCAACTGATGCCATGTTCAAGACCGCAAATGCGACAGACGCAGGTGAAAGCGCAGTGATGGCGATTCACACCTGGGCACATGTGCACGTGTGGGGAAGGCGCGATGCGCGTTGCCGTTTCCGCTCTAGTGCGCTTGCCCTGCAGCAATCGCCCCGGCCACCCCACGTGGACGGCGCGTCATCTGGTGCATCACGCGTCCCGAGGTCAATAACAGAGGCACCAGACACTGATCATCTCGTCTCTACATTTTTGGGATACTGCTATTCGTACAAAATCTCAGTTTGATCTATTTTGACCTTCTCATACGGCACGAGTGGGATTCTAGGCTTCCAGCCATATCTTTCAGCTCGCATCCACCCAGCCACAAGCTTCAGAGTGTACAAAAGCGCCGCGCGCTTCCATACCTCTAGACACAGACATATCTTCTTCTTTCTTCCAAATAATAGTTCTACTAACCCCGGGTATCATGCTGCATAGAAGCATCTTCATAGGAGCTACACTTGTAGCTTCGGCGACAGCATGGAACACAGACGGTGCGTCCTTTCCCTTTCGCGAGTAGTTGGCGCTAATGTCAAAAAGTGCATAATCAGGTCGGCTTCATGGCAGAAACCTTCTTCACACCCGAAACCACGTCCGTCCTCGCAGAGATCCTCGAACCCCAATACAACGGCTCAGTCGGGCGCTCAGCAGCATGGGCAGACGGGTATGCGCACACCAGCGAAGGCCATTTCTCGTATCAGTGGCACTGGATAGACACACACGATCGTCAACCTGAGAACTGCAGTCTAGACTATGCGCGGGACTGCGCAAAGGGCGGATGCGTTGTTAGTGCTATTGCGAACCAGACGAGGATACTGCGGGAGTGCATAGACCAGGTGTATGCTGGTGATTTGACGGGAGGTGCAAACCTGAATTGCTCGTATGCGTTGAAATGGGTTGCTCATTTCCTGGGCGACATTCATCAGCCTCTACATGCAAGTGGCCGACAAGTAGGAGGCAATATGTACAAAGTGGTATTTGGTGGCGCTCACACGCAGTTACATTCTGTGAGTATCTTACACCGATAGCAAAAGGATGCGCTAACAAGCAAGGTCTGGGATGGCTACATACCCTACTTCGCGGCAAACGTCGACCATCCCTTCTCGCACGAGTCGATCGATCCATTCTTCTCTGGGCTCGTCGCTCGTATTCGCAAAGACCAGTTCTACTCCGCGCCGTACATGTGGCTCTCCTGTACCGACCCTTCCATACCCGAGGAGTGCGCAACAAGTTGGGCGAAGGAGAGCAACAAATGGGATTGCGACTACGTGTGGAGTCGCGTAACGAACGACACAGATCTTGGGACTAATGGGTATGCTGCAGGCGCTGTGCCCATCGTAGAGCTTCAAATAAGCAAGGCTGCGCTCAGACTGGGTACATGGCTGAACAACTTGGTCGAAGGGGTCAAACCTACTGTGGAAGAAGAGGAAATGATGGAGCTTTGAAGTAACAATCGAACAAACAGCATCATTTGCGAACTGCGACTGGTTGTACGTGTGCCACGCTGATCTCACATCATCTTGACTCTCCACATGCCGGCTCAGCCAGTATATGCGAACAAGTGGCGTTGATGCAGGGTGACTTGCCTTCAGCCCTACGAAGATGCCGGGACCCCACATCGGCATGCCATCTCCTTCCCCACATCCGGTTATATACTCTCCCGTCGCTGGCTGCATTGGCAACCAAACATCGAATTGCTTTGCTTGCTTTCTATACAGCGAATCCGTTTGGCGATAAAGACTTGGAAATTCTTTCAACATGGCTTTCGACGAGTTTAATGAAAAAATCACACCTGCCGTATGTATCTCGAACGGCCCCACATCTGCATTCTCGATACTCTTTGGCATCTTCGAACACATGAAGTCGCCTTTGGAACTAATTCTTTCTTGATGAACGAAAACATCCAATATCCAAACCCTGACTGACCACACTCCCAGAACCCAAGCCGGGAAACATCACCAAACCGCGGCTCCTCCGTCCATCAATCCATCGCCATACCCAAGCCCTGCAAGCCACTCCGACAATGGCAGCAAGAACAGAACATCGACCGCGATGCCCAAATCAAACTCACAAAACTAGTGCACATGCGCTACCAACACCCTGACCTAGACGAAATAACCACCTTTCTCCGTGACTTCGGCATGAGCGTAGCCCAAAAAGCCCCAGGCAAGAAATGGTTCAAAGGCTATGGCTCAGATCAATACGTCTACTACGCACAAGAAGGAGAAAAGAACTTCCTCGGCGGCTGTTTCGAAGTGGAAAGCTACGCCGAGCTAGAAAAAGCGTCGAAAGTCGCGGGTGCTGGTCCTATCGAGGAGTTGACCGACGCACCAGGCGGCGGCCACATGATCACATTGCACGACCCAGAAGGCTTCCCCATAAACCTAATCCACGGCCAGACCAAAAAGGACCCAGGCCCATTTCCCGAAGTCCTAACAACAAACTACGAAAATGAAAAGCCCCGCATCGCACGATTCCAACGCTTCAAACCCGGTCCCGCCGCCGTACACAAACTCGGCCACTACGGCCTCTGCGTCCAGAACTTCCAATCCGAAATGCAATGGTACACCCGCACCTTCAACATCGTGCCCACCGATTTCCTCTACATAAACCCCAATCCCTCCAACCCCTCCCTCCCCCAACAAAAAGACGTAGCCATCTTCGCGCACCTCGATCTCGGTCCAGCCTACACGGACCACCACACCATCTTCCTCTCCAGCAACCCCACTTCCCATGTCCATCATTGCAGTTTTGAAGTCCACGACTTTGATACACAGAATTTGGGGCATGAGTGGTTGGCGAGTAAGGGGTATAAGAGTGTTTGGGGTGTTGGACGGCATATTCTGGGGAGTCAGTTGTTTGATTATTGGTGGGATACGACGGGCAATATGATTGAGCATTATGCGGATGGAGATTTGGTGAATGAGGAGACGCCCGTGGGGTGGGGGGAGGCGGGGGATGAAAGTTTGGCGGTTTGGGGGCCCGAGGTGCCGAGTTGGTTTTTGGATTGATTGAGGTGGCGCTGGAAGTTTGGGGATGGGTTTGTGTATACTCGGTCTTCTTCGCTTAGGGAAAAGGATCATCTATATTCTGTACTCCCATACCACATACAACAGACTTGATCTACCACTCCCTCGCCCTTCCCCACCCCCTATCCGTAACCCCATCATTCCCATAGTATCTACCACTTATTGGCTCAGTTCCCTGTGTCAAACCGCCGTCTCCATCCCCTCCCTTACCAAGCTGCCCAACCCCCAACCTCACCGGTATCCTCGCCCCCTCCTCCAACGTCTTCGGCGGCCTCCCAATCTGATTCCCCATATCACTATCCACCCACCCAGGACAACAGCAATTCACTAACACGCCCTCGTTCTCACGTGCCAGAACGACTGTTAGCGCGTTCATCAGCGCTTTACTGACTTGATACGATTTCGGCGGCGCGCCAAACCCGGCGGACTCTTGGGATGAGGATTTCACGGAGGAGATGTATTCTTGGGCGAGGGCGTCGACGTCGGCGATGGAAGTTGCGGACCGGAATCGGGATGCAGTTGTACTGGGGTAGTTTGACAAGGAGGAGGCGGTGCTGGAGACGTTTACTATGCGGGCGTTTGGTGTGGATGACATTTTTCCGTCGGAGAGGAAGTTCTGGCACATTTGCTTTGTGCCGTGGTAGTTCACGTTGATGACTTGTTCGGCGGCATCGGGGGTTTCGTCGTTGTTGTTGTTTATGCCTGCGTTATTGATCAAGACGTCGATTTTGCCGCTGTCCTTGAGCGCGGTTTTGAGGAACGATGTTATGGATGATTTGTCTGAGACGTCGAGTTTGGCGTAGCGGATCTCGTTAGGAGGTTTGGCTTGGATTTTGAGGTCTACGCCGCCGCGCGATGTGGCGTAGATGTGGAGGGGTTGTGGGTGTTGGGTGGTGGCTAGGAGGTTGATGATGCCTTGGCCGATTCCGCGGTTGGCGCCGGTGACGACTATTGTTAATGGGGATACCATGGCTTCCCAAAATTGTTCAGATTGATGGTTCTAACTTGTATATTCCTCAGAAAGTACTGCACATATGTTTATGTACTTAGAGGTGTACTTGTGAGAGTGGTGATGTCAGGCACGATCCATGACGTAGCGATCTTCACTTGACCACATGTAGCGAGAGAAGAAAGGAAAACATCGAAGGCACTTTAGTCAGGGAGCAACGGTGTGATATCAACAGAATTTGTATTTTCGTATCACTATACAGCGCGCGAAATTTGGAGAAGCTCTAGCGACAGGACCTGGTACCAGCTGCCCTGTCCTTCTACTAAGCTCTCCTTGGTTAGTCTCCGTACTCATGGTGCTGTTTCTGATGAACGCACGCATTTAGCACATCTCACTCCCTCCATGGGCCCCTTCAGCGTGATAGTGGCTTGCTATCCAGAACCTCTCCAATTTTCTCCGTCAACCACTCTTCAGCCTCAGGCCAGTCGCCTCGCCCCAGGAGCATTGCGAACTCATTGAGCTCAGCGCGGCGCAGTTCCGGTATCTCAAGCAAGATTTTCTTGAGAAGATCGGGGGCATACATCTTACTGATTAGTACGTCTTCGATCGCCCAGTACATGCCCGACTTGGCGGTGAAGCGTGCTTCATCACATCCGGTCTCCTCCATAGCCTTGATATAAACCTGGCGGTAATGGTCCAGTTGGTATCCCATACACGGGAAATCGAGCACGGTGAAGTAATCCGGCCAATCTTTGCGGAGAAAACGTGGAAGAGAGGCGTAACCCACGAAACGTGGAGCTGCGCAGACGCAATCCCAATCTAAAATGCCTGTCACATTACCATCATCGTCGACGAGAATGTTATTGAGGTAGAGCTCATTCCACAGCACGAACGTCTCTTCCTCGCTGGTTTCGGCGTTGGACGGTTTGGAAGTCCTGATGACGGGATGCGAAAAGATGATATCGATTATTTTCCTGTAGCCTAGCCCTTTAAAGCGGTCAGGTCCATTAAGATTATTCAGTCGTTTGTCGTGTAGGCGTGGCCAAAGAGTGCCCAGGTTAGGAGTCAAGTACTCGATGCTTGATGTGAATGGCCCGTACTTCTCGACCTGAGTGTCAGATTCCAGGTCCTCTTGAGTGAGGTTGTGGTAATCCTTCCAAACAGATACATAATCAACATGGTGCGTCTCACTGCTCTTCCCGTCCGTAAAGACAGGAATGCCAACGCCCTTGAACTCGATATTTTGTAGCCCTGCCATAGCCTTGGCAAGTGAACGCAACATGTTGACGCGCTTTGCCTCGGTTTCTTTTGAGATACGGACTGCGGTAATGTGGCTTAAATCCGAGGTATCTTCGAACCACAGCTCATGAGCACGACGGCCAGGTGAGCGCTTCATGAGGATGTAAGGTGCACCCAAGTCGGATTCCTCTACTGAATCTACTGATGCGATGACCTCGGGGACCGGAACAGTTGTGTGCTGAAAAAGATGTTTCATAATACCAACTTCAGCCCTCAGATTGCGGGCATCTCCCGCTTGCCAACGAGGTTGCGTACCCACAGATGGTACTGAGACGACATAGTCTTGGTCGTCCTGATCTTTGTGGCGGACGTGAAGCGTCAAAACCAGATTGTTTGCGCCCTCATAGCGGGAGAGGACATCGACATCTGCGCGCGCAAGCTGGCCGCTGGGATCCACGGATAGCAGGACGATGTCCTTGAACTTATCGTCTGAAATGTTTCGGATAGGCTCCCAGTCTTCGCGTTCTAGATAAGGATCGACATGACTCACGTCGTCGGGATAGTCGAATTCGTCGGGATCGTCGCTTTCGTCATCATAGAGAATTGGTTCTTCATCCAGACCAACGCAATGACGATCGCCAGGTTCATTCTCTTCGTTCCCCACAGGGGCAGAGGACTGACTTGGGCAAGCCACATTTTGGTTCCCATGTTCGTCGGCAGCGTTGGCCTTCTTTGCCTTCTCATCGGCGTAGCGATTCTCATCTTCTTCGCGTTTCTTCTCTTCTGCCTCCATCTCAGCAATCATGCGGTCCATCTCTTCGTCTTCGACGCGCTTCTTCTCGGCTGGAATGCTGTTCGAGTCAGCTGTCGATTCGTGCGCGGTCATGCCAATGTCTAGATTGGCCAGCGCGGATATTATCTTCTCATCTTCCGATGACATGATGGTCTGAAGCAGTGTTTTGGAGCTTCGAATGTGAACAGTATGTGTAAAGAGTAAGTGGCGAAGTTTTGGTTGATCTGTAAAGAAGGCGTAGGGTTTCGGAAGGTGAGTAGTGATGTGGGAGAATAGTGGAAGAACTTATAGTCGAGAGAGGTGCTAGCTCATAGGGTGAAATGAAGCCGCAGACTCATCTGAGAACGATGGCGAGTACTGGCCTGCTAGAGGTTCAGAGTGAATGCGGTCGCATTGTTCGACAGTCGGAAACCCCAGACTTGTCACGCCAAATCA